TATCTCCTTTGAATTGATAGTACGGTTACATCTTAATTGATTGCTACAGGGGCACCTGGGTGGCCCAGTCGGTTAAGCGTCTGACTTCAGCTCAGGTCATGGTCTCATAGTTCATGAGTTAAAAACCTGCATCAGGCTCTGTGCTGACAGTTCAGAGCCTGGAGCCTCTTTCGTATTCTGTGTCTCCCTCTCTCTCTGCTCCTCTTCTGCTCATGCTCTGTCTCAAAAATAAACTCTAAATAAAATTAATTGATTGCTACAAAAATCAAGTATGGACATATAGCAGAGATTCAGAAGCTACAAGACAAAGTTATAAAGTTGAATGTCTACAGTGTCTTTTTGTAGCATCTTAATATTTAAAAGTAAGTTGGTTCAGAGGGTAAGAGAATTGGAAGGAAATTTTTTCCGGATGTCAGGTCATTAATGTTGTGACTAGATGTTAGAATTGTTTGAATATATTTAGACTGGCTTTTTTGTTAATAGCTTCTCAATAGGTTTGGCATGGATAAGATCTATGAAGGCCAAGTAGAAGTGACTGGAGATGAATACAATGTGGAAAGCATCGATGGTCAGCCTGGTGCCTTCACCTGCTATTTGGATGCAGGGCTTGCCAGAACTACTACTGGAAATAAAGTTTTTGGGGCCCTCAAGGGAGCTGTGGATGGAGGCTTGTCTATTCCTCACAGGTAATATAGCACTCAAGTTTTTATTGTTTAGACACCAGTATTTCTATTTCTAACTGGTTGGACTGTGGAGATTACTGAATCAAAGTAATAGGAGACTATCATTGTGTATCTGCTGTATGCTTAATACTATGCAAAAGGAACGTGTCAGGGCAGGAAGGACTTGTAGTACCGCATTTCATAAATGAGACTGAGGTTCAGAGGTAAATGATTTCGTCAAGGTTTTAGAGCCAGTAGTAGAAAAGCCAGGGTTGAAACCACTAGTTTTTGGGTTGTGGCTTAGTTTTGGTTAGAAACGAGCGACTCAAGTCCACTCCACTCCCCTCCCAGTCGGTGCATTTTATTTTCATTCAGAAAGAAAATTGCTTTATTCGGTTATGGAAAACTATCAACTCCAGAAAAAGATTTTGATAAAAAGCTTAAGATAAAACTCCCATACTTTCAACTGGAAATAAGATTGTAGATCATTAGAAAAAAAAAAAAAAGATTGTAGATCATTAGAGGCTAAGTAGGTGATTTTAATTTGGTAGTTCCTTTGGTTTTAAGTTAATTTTTGTTATTGTTGAGTAGATGCATCTTTAAGAAGTGATTTATGTTTAGCCTCTTAGGGATATTTTAGTAGTTGGTGACTTAATCAAAATTTTTTCTGGCTATAGGTTTTGGGGTTGGGGAGGTTAGCCTTATAAAATGTAACCTAACTGCAACTTTTATAATGGTGGGGCATAATATTTTTAAGGACCTGCAGGTCTCTTGCAAAGCATCTATTAGATGTGGTTGAACATCACCTATTCCCATGTACCCTGAGGCACCACTGAGAAATTCTAGCATTTGGGGGGAGCAGTTTTGAAACCATTTCCTGTACTAATAAGGAGAACTAACTTGATAGTGGTGCAAACTTGGTTCATTTCAAGACTTAATAAAGGTGTTTGTGGTATGATTTTCTCTTTCATCCTGGAATTCACATCAGCTGCTGAATGATGATACCCCAGTAACTGAGCAGTCAGTAGTTGGTCCTTTGATTGCATATGATGCAATTAATTGTTTCAAGACGGGACTGATGGCAGCTACTGAAATGAATTCCTGCTAGTGAACTGATATCAGTCATTACATACTAATATGAAAAACTTTATTTTAGTACCAAACGATTCCCTGGTTATGATTCGGAAAGCAAGGAATTCAATGCAGAAGTACATCGGAAGCACATCATGGGTCAAAATGTTGCAGATTATATGCGTTACTTAATGGAAGAAGATGAAGATGCTTACAAGAAACAGTTCTCTCAATACATAAAGAACAACGTTACTCCAGACATGGTAAAAATTTTAACTAAAAATGCCTGTATTGGTTAATTTGTAGAGTCAGCTTTACTAGTTGGCTTTGGTGGGAAAATTAATAGTTGTTATTTCTGGTTAACAGTTAAAGTTGAATATGAGTATGTTAATAGGTATAAATAGACTTAAGTGAGCTGTCCATTAACTCAAGTTAGCTTAAAATGGAATGTCCTGAAACTGGGATACTGGGTGAGGGTAAGTTAAAAGACAAACAAGGTAGAGGCACCTGCAGGGATGGCTCAGTTGGTTAAGCGTCCAGCTTCAGGTCAGGTCATGATCTCATGGTTTGTGAGCTCGAGCCCCATGTCAGGCTCTGTGTGACAGCTCAGAGCCTGGAGCCTGCTTCAGAAAGTCAGACAAGGTAGTATAAAGAGCTAGACTTCCAAGCTTTTAGGGACTTTTTAGATCTTAAAAGGTGGCAAGCTTGAAGCCTCTAAATCTAAAGCCTGTGGCGGCTTTTGTTCATTTCGCTGTTCTATATTTGTAGACTTCATTCCTGTGGTCATAGTTACAATCTATCCTGTCTGACGAGATGCTGGTTACTAAACTTCATTTTGAAACCATGTCGAAGAAAGGTTCTCTATAGCAAATAAATTCTATGTTCTGGATTTTCTGAATGTCAGGCATGCACACATAGTTGTACTGATTCAATCACTGGTTCTGCATGATGTTGCAGATGTGAGTTTAATGTTGGAGGATTTATCAGCCTCAGTCAGTTAAGCATAAGCTCAGGTCATGATCTCATGGTGTGTGAATTCAATTCCTACATCAGGCTCTGCTGACCGCTCAGAGCTTCGAGCCTAAACATTTAAAAAAGGACAATTTATCAGCCCTAATGTTATATCTCCAAAGTTCTCTATTCAGTGTAGTAATGGAAGATAATAGGACAGTACACAAAAGTCACACTGATTATTATAAAACAATTATATAGCTCTGGAGTTGTATATAAGTTGGTGGTTATATATTAAATGTTCTTTTCCGTTAGTGCATAGTTTCTATTTTGACACAGTTTTGGTTATGAAAATCTTTAGAGTTGTAATTGGGAAAATCAATGTTATTTGTATGCTTAGTACACAGTCTAGGGCTGAATAAACACATCACTTGATTTTTTGAGCTAAGAAAAGGGTACTATTTGTTAGTGTCGCAAATAAATAATTTTCAGAAATCTATACTTCTTGATTACTATTGACATTGTCCTCATTCACTGTGGTAAATAGGTCTTTTAATTGTGATGATTCTAATTGGCCTGCATAATTTTTCTTCCTAAGCCAGTTCTTACTGTGGTCCTGTCACACTTGTTCAAAACTTTTCAAATTCATAAGTTGCTTTCAGATACCCATTTCTTAATGCTTTCTAACGTATGTGGTATATACTTCAGCTGGACCACTCTTAGGCTAATGTACTTTTCCTGGCTAGCTCATTAATTTGATCTATGGAAGTCTCTTTTCTGCATGGCTGCTGAAATCCTCTGCAGACATCTTACTTGTCTCCAGGAGGAAGTGGTCTTCACCTAAACTCATGGTATTATCTATATACGTGGTTGTATTTTCTCTGTCTTTTTGAAGGAGTGGACCAAGTTGATTATATTTATTAAATGACTACATCTGAAGTCATCAAGTGGGTTTGTTAGTTACAGAGGAGAGCTGTCATAGTGCTTAAAATAAAAGAGGTAGAGAAATTAACTTTGAGGATGGATTTAGGGAGTTGAGATCTAATGCAGTGAAAGTGTTGGCATTATTTTCATTTGATAAGTTGTATACAAATGCATGTAGTAATCACATTTTCTCCATATTCAGTGAGTAATTTTAGAGACTTGGATTACTTTGGCTCATTCTTTAGGGGGCTATAATTGTTACTAGATTGTGATAGTAATCATTCAGGCAATTTATAGCTGTTTCATGACTTGGTCTTCCATAGAACCAATAGTCACTTATTTGGAGGTGGGAATTGAAACAATTCAGAGAGTTACAACACTTTTTTATGAATTTTAGAACAGAATCCTCATTAAGATCTAATTGGATGGTGTTTCAGGGTTTTTTGGGAAATTCAAACCAATGTTTCCACAGAGGCATAATACTGTTGCCAAATACTAGTGATTCCTAAGTAGTAACAGATAGAAGAGGTTCTTGGTATGCAGTTCTGGGTATAGCATTGAAAAGCCTCTCAGGTCCTAAAGGAAAATATAAATCGTGGGAATGTGGGAGAACGCAAATAAAGTAAGCAATTGATTGTTGGCCCCATATACTCTTCATCTTAACATCTTAAATATTTGGTTTTGGCATGTATCCTCACTTGAATAAAAGAATTGAGGTCAGGACCACCTGGGTGGTTCAGTTGGTTAAGTGTCATGTGTGCACGCTCAAAATAAAAGAATATAGGTCAGACAGTATTTTATGTTTTAAATGTATTTATTTTGAGAGAGCACGAGAAGGGGGAGTGGCAGAGAATGAGAATTCCAGGCAGGCTCCACACTGTCAGCACAGAGCCTGATGTAGGGTTCTAGAGATCATGACCTGAGCCGAGGTTAAGAGTTGGGGACATCTAAATGACCAAGTCACTCAGGCACTCTTTATTTTTTTCTTTTTAAAGTTTATTTATTTTGAAAACGCATAAGTGGGGGACAGAGGTGAGACAGTATTTTAAAGAAATATAAGGAGATAGCAGCATTGACTTAGTTTAGTTCCTTTTGACAGTCTGGGTTAGAAGGACAAAATAGAGCCAATAGTAGAATGTAGTGTTACGTGACTGTTTAGGGCATGTGAAATGAAACCAAGTACTGTTTGCTTTGCTTTCTTTCAGATGGAGGAGATGTATAAGAAAGCTCACGCTGCTATACGAGAGAATCCAGTCTATGAGAAGAAGCCTAAGAAAGAAGTTAAAAAGAAGAGGTATGCATCCTCCTGTTGTCTTTTTAAGAGAGAGAGGTTGGGAGAGGTTGGGAGGAGTTATTGCTTTGTTTCATCTTACCCAAAGTCTTGTTGAAGTTGTGCAAACTCGATCACTAACTCTGCATGATGTTGCAGAAGTGAGGGGAACCAGGTTTGCTAAAGTAATTGTGGTGATAGAAATGTATTAGCCTCAGAAGCTACTTAACTGAGCTGACCCATTCTGTCCCAGTACAGTATAACTATCCAATAACTGCATTTTTAAATACTGTATGTATTTAATAATGGATGTGGGAAAGTTAGCCTAAGAGCATAAATAGGTATATGGGAATTTGGATTGTTTGACCTGATAATAAAGTCTTCTTTTTTTCAAGGTTAAATATTTTCTGTCCTTTATAGCTGTGGTTTTTAAAAATCACATTTTTCTCTTAATTTTACTTTGTTTTGTAGGTGGAACCGTCCTAAAATGTCTCTTGCCCAGAAGAAAGATCGGGTGGCTCAGAAGAAGGCAAGCTTTCTTAGAGCTCAGGAGCGGGCTGCTGAGAGCTAATAAACCAAACAATTTTCTATGAAGATTTTTCAGATAAAGACAATAATAAACTTATTCACCAAGCAGCTTCTGTGTTGAGCTCTTGTTAATGAAACTGTTAGAAATAACACGAAATACAAAAGCAGAAGAGTTGACAAGGGTATTTTGGTTTGGTTTTGCTTCAAGAAAAAAGTGTAACTTTCTATATTGATTCAAAGTTCACACCTGCTTCTTGAGCTTCTGTTTTCCATGACAGGAGTTAATCCTTCTAATTGTGTGGAATACAGCTCTCCCTAAAAAAGTCTGGTAAGCAACAGACCAGCCATCCAACTAGGAAATACTTCTTCCATTCATTTATTGTAACCAGATGATTAGTGGGAAGAAAAGATACCTTCAAAATACACCATTTTAAAATAAGCAAAACATGTGCTCATCAATGGCTTTAATTTTTGAGAGAAGGCTGTCCAATGAAGTTCACATAACATTTCACTTTAATCAGGTTAAACATTTGAGCAGAAAACACTGGGTCTTCCTTCAAAAGAGGTGTTCCATTTTATGGAGATGTTGGAAGGTACATGCCAGATCTTAACGTTAAAATAACATGAAAAGAACAAATATTAACTTGCATATCAAGTTCACATGGAAAAATAAATTTACATGCCTCTTAAGAAATAGCCCTTTGGCCAACAGGAAATACTGTTCAAAATGGAAAATTATTAAAAAGTCCCATGATTTCAGAGTCTGGCTCTTAAATGTCCCACTTCCCCATAGCTCAAATTCAGACTTGTAAATTTGGATTGAGTTGATGTTAAGTCAGTTTTGAAGGACTCCACTCATTGACACTATGAAAGACCCATCAAATCTAGGATGATGAAAGCTCATCCAATTTCAACCTCTAAACTTGACAATTGTTGCCAAATAGAACACTTTATGATGGATTTTTATTTTTAAGCTATTAAGAGCCACTCAAAACTTTCTGAAGCCATATAACAAATGTTTTTTAAGTCTACAAGTACAACAAACCATGCTATTAACCCAACATCTGTTTATAAAGGAGTAACTACTTGCTTTGCAGTCTTAATTTCTGTTAATGTGCAAACTTTACCATGCTAAGACTTAAGTAAATGTACGGTATAGTTTTTTGTTTTTTGTTTTTTTTAACAGCAGCTTCGATGCAAACAATGTTTCCAGCAATGGTATTTTGGCTAACGTAAATCTAAGAAATATTCTCACTGTTTATGGAATGAGGCTTTTCACAGCATTATTTTAGGTCATTAGTCAAAATAGTTAAACACAGTGAATGTACCAGGGCTTATAATAGCAGGAATGAAATCTTTGGACCAGTTCATCCTATACCTCCTGCCATTACTTCAATATGTATCTCAAGATGATGGCTTCTTAAAACTAGGTTAAAGGGGTTTTGTATAATTGGCAGGAATTTGAATCAGAAGCCATTTTTTTAATGCTCAAAAATTTTCCTTAGAATTGTTAAGTTTCCTAGAACGGTCACACCGTCCAAATGAACTAAGAGTCATTTGTGTAGGAAATTTTCTTCCACAGTAATGTTTTTAGGTTATTTAGTATCAAAGAATGTTCCATTTCCATTTGATTTGCTGTGACTTTGAGAGCAATACAAGAATAAAGTTGCTTTTCCAATTCTTCACGAATTTCAGTTGGAGCACCACGCAGTAGGTAGTCTTTGAGTAACTGACAGGCTTTTGCCAAGTTTGGTTGTATCACTTCTGAAGTACACTTCATTGTACTCTGATCACAGGTAGTTCGACAGTCTGTGCCATAAACACAGTCCAAATCAGATTCACAGTGGCGATCCTTTATCAGTTCTTTCAGGTTTGTCTCTGGCACAATTTTTCTCATGTCCACCATTTTCAAATCATACTTATCATTATAACCTAGGTTTTTGGCACTAATATCACACATGAGGAAGTTTCCATACGGGCCATGGAAAACATCTTCCACAAATTCTAGAAGTCCTATGGCTATTTTAGCCTTTCTAGGCCATGATGGTGTGAACAACTGATCCATGCTTCTTCTAAACCCAGACGGAATAAAAAGTTCAATGACCCATGGAAGGCTTATTCCATAAAGAGAGGTATATTCAACACTTTCCATCACGTAGAGGTCACCACAGAATCCCATTAATTTGGGGGTATGTTCCTTATCTTGAAGTATCACCATAAGAAGAAATTCATTTAGTTGAAGAAGGGCCCATGCTGACTTTGCTTCTCCCAAGGAAACCTGGCCATCTTTGTCTCCATCAGCCACCGTCAAGATGAGATTAACCAGTTCAGAGAGATTTCCTTGGTCACCCAACTTTGCCTATTTATATAAGGAATGAAAAATACCTCACATATAATACACATACTAACTTTATGTGATTACTATGCTAAGTAATGATCTTGTTACCAAAATCCCATAAAGGAACTTAATATATCTCCAAATATAATGCTTACTAAGTGAATCAGTATATTTTATATAATTATAGTAAAACCCACTCCATTATATTTTTTTAAGAAATGGCCATCCTAACCTTGAGGGTGTTATGCTGAGCGAAATAAGTCAGGCAGAGAAGGACAAATATCATATGTTTGCACGTATAGGAGGATTAGGAGGAACTTGACGGAGGAACAAGGGGGAGAAGAAGGGCGGAAATGGTGGGGGAAAGGGAGAGAGGCAAACCATGAGAGACTCTTGAATGCTGACAAAAACTGAGGACTGATGGATGTGGGGGGGGAGGGGGGATGGGCATGGAGGAGGGCACTTTGGGGATGAGCGCTGAGTGTTATGTGGAAAATAATTTGACAATAAACTATTTGTAAAAAAAAAAAAAAACAAAAACGAAACTAAAAAAAAAAAAAAAAATGGCCATCCTAGCTTCCATTAGCCCCTTGGGCCCTGTAGATAAATACAGTTATCCAAGACACTAAGTAATAATTCTTACACATTTACTTGCAAGAATAGTGTAATGTGCTCATATCCAAAGTTATAATAAGGGTCAACTGAAAATTATTTTCTCTTATTTTTAAAAAAATTTTAATGTTTATTTTATTTTTGAAGGAGAGAGAGAGAGACAGAGACAGAGTGTGAGTGGGGGAGGGGCAGAGAGAGAGGGAGACACAGAATTAGAAACAGGCTCCAGGCTCTGAGCTGTCAGCACAGAGCCTGATGCAGGGCTCGAACTCACGAACTGTTAGATCATGACCTGAGCTGAAGTCAGATGCCTAACTGACTGAGCCACTCAGGTGCCCCGATTTTCTCCTATTCTGTAGTCACCACATTAACAGAACTATTTTGTTCAATTCTATTGTTCTAATGATGAAGGTTAAAAAGTGTTGGGGCTCCTGGCTGGCTCAGTCAGAGGGGTGTGCAGCTCTTGATCTCGGGGTTGTGAATTCAAACCCCAGGATGGGTGTTCATTAAATAAAAACTTAAAAAAAAAAGTATTTCCCTGTGAAGGTTCTTGGTATAAATAGTCTGAAAATGTAAACTGTTCAAAGAAAAAGAATTTTTAAAAATTTATTTTGAGAGAGAAAGTATGAGTGGGGAGGGGAAGAGACAGAGAACGAGACAGAATCCCAGGCAGGCTCCACACTGTCCGTGCAGAGCCTGATGTGGGGCTCGGACCCATGAACCAATCATGACCTGAGCCGGCTGAAACCACAAGTCAGACGTTTAACTGACTGAAACACCCAGATGTCCCAGAAACGAAAGATTTTTAGTGAAATCTGACAGCAATAAAAAGAGATTCTTTCCAAAATTGTAACAATTTTTATCTTTTAATACATTTAATCTTTGTATAAATATTTCTTTAAATTTTAAAAAATAATTTGCAATCAAGGTATATATACTAATTTTATCCCCTCCTCCACCTTTTAAAAGTGTCAGTTACAGTGGCAAACTATAGAGGAGCTCATCAATTTAATGAACTCCCCTTTCATATCTGGACATTTTTAGCTATCATAAATAATATTAATGTAACCATCTTCCACACATCTTTTTTGAATTATTTCCTCAAGATGGGGGGGTCCTTGATATAGGTTAAAGAATAGCAACATTTTTATGGTTTAGAATAAGGTCTTACCAACTCTTCAAGAATATACTGCTTCACGCTAATAACATGTGAATAGATATACTACTTACTTTAAAGAGACTGTAGACCATTTCTTTGAATTTCTGTACAGTTGTTCCCCTAGTTGGCTTATCAAATAGCACTATTTCTTTCCTTGGTTCCAATTCAGTCCCAAAATCAAGATGAAGTGCTTGTTCCATTTGACATTTCACAACACCTGGTAGATTACCCCAAATCCCTAAATACATCTATATGAAAAAAGAATGACAAATTACTCTTTAGGCTAAATAGAAAATTAACCACTATATTTTTAGTGTCCTTTTTCTCTTATAAAAACATACAAGCAACAAAACATTAGGACTGAGCTTTTCTCCATAACTTTTTTAGATTATAAAAGCTATGCATGCTGAAATACATATATTTTTGACCGTGATCAATTTTATTTTTTCCAGTTTTTAAGTTGTGACAAATTATTAAAAACTTAAAATTTACCATCGTAACCATTTTTAGTGTACAGTTGAGTGGTATTACATTCACAATGTTGTGCAGCCATCACCACCGTCCATCTGCAGAACTCTTCATCTCGTAAAAGTGAAACTCTATACTTATTAAATAATAACTCC